AATAAACTACATTTCATGTTATGATACAGAACAAAGAAATACTAACGGGAACAAAAGTCATCATGATACAGTGATAACAACAGGCAGATCAAAATTAACAGCAATTTGAGACACCTTTGTTTTAAATTCGAAAGTAAGTATAGGGAAACTTTTGCAATTGCATCGAACAATGATCAGATCACACAGTGTGATTAATACCTAATTTTAAGATAACTTGTACAATATATTATAATATGAATGCAACCTTTAAATTAGATTCTAAGCATTTTTTTTAAATTAACACAGAAACTTAAATAGTTTTGTCGTTCATAGTTATAGTACATACATTTATTAATTGGCTCTAAAAAATGTTAATTATATCACATACAAAAATTAATTTAAGCAATCGCTGTAACAGCCATCGAGTTTACATGTAACAAAATATTAATTTATTTAAAACGTTGAAAAAAAAATCATTTTAATTTTTCATAATATAACTTTAAGACAGTACCGTCGGCTTTTAGAAACTAAAAATAAAACGAATTGTCTATAACCCTTTTTAAAATTTGGATTCCAAAAAAAATAAAAACGACGAAATGTGTCACAGTCTTAGATTAGATAATTTTATATAATTTAAGGTCTCAGTGTTATTTAACTATAAATTATGGAGAAATCATGTACGTAAAAAAATGTAATCTATTACGGTATATCATTATTCCATTCATTTTTTGACAGATCACAGTAATAAAATAATTTATAACTATATATAACTGAATAAAAGTGAATATAATATCGTTTTATGCCTCAATAGAAGTGCCACATAAGTGTATATGTAACATTATTTATAATAGTGCGTTATAGTTTTTATTTAGATATAAAACTAACAAAATGCTATTGAATCGTTAAGTGTCTGATAAATATTTTCAACTTTATCATATTATATTAAATACAGAATATTTAATAAATAACTTTAAAAAATATTATAGCAAAACAACATGAAAAATATCAATTATTAAAGTTTTGAATGGAATATCAGTAGATTTAATCTCATCTTCCTTTACTTTACTATTAAAATTTATTATAACCACTTTGAGTTTGGTATCTAAAATGTTTCCCTTCAGGTTAATTCGGTGCAAATTTTATTAAATATGCTCTAACTTCTTTTAATTTCTCATATAACTGTTCTAAAGAAATATTCATAACTTACCACCAATACGTAGAATAGAGTACACTTTATATAATTTTACGAAATATATAACATAGTCAGGTGAAATTGCAATTGTTCAGTTCCTGCCTTATTGCTTCCCATTGTATTTTGCACAATCATGGTCTCTTCTTTAGTCTGATAACCGCCCATGCTCTTGGTTGTTACTTTTCGTTAAACGCGTACACCCAATCACGCAGTTCAAGATAGAACACCATAAGTCTTAATTTCTTCTTTGTTCTTTTTTGGCTCAATTTTCACATTTTTCTGGACGAAGCTTGCAAGAATACAACCGCTTCTTTCCTTTTTAAATAGATCTGCCGTTTCTTGAATTTTGGTCTTTGGTCATGATATTAAAAATCTTTGGTCATATTGTTCCTCATTCCTCGTTACTCGTCTTCATAGTACTATATATTATATATTTTAAATTTTCAGTCACCTTCAATAAAATAATTATTGTGGCCTCTTCTTGTATTCATATTTGTTTATTTTTCGTCACATCCGGTATTGCGTCCATTCCGTTATAATATAATTTTTTTTTGTCATTGCTCTTAACAACTTTCCATTATTTACTTTAGTTTAATATAATTTTTTTTTCTTTTAAATAGTAGGCCCGGCGGTGCGCGTGCATTGTAGCAACGCACCGCCTGGCAGGGTCGCCATGTAATGTTTGAACAATGCAATAAATTAAACTCACTGATGCAGTTTAATAACTCTCTCCTTATTGGTTTGGAGGAGACTTATATATAGTGGTTGTGACGTAGGTACATAGGTAGGGGGCAGGGTTTGTGTTACGTGGTTCCAGGTAGAGCCACATGAATAGTATCTTCTTCTATAAATATAATATGATATTACTGAACTAAATAGATGTTATTTCTACTCCTTATATGGAGTCCACGTTGAGTGATGATATCATTTAATATTCCTGTTATATTGCTTTATCATAGTACCTACACCACAAGCCATGAGATTAAGAGTGTGATCGGAAGGTTTTTGGGTTCTTCTACGACGGGTCTTGAAGAACTTAACTCCGACCGCATGAACCAAGAGCTTGTCAATTCATATTGTCGACGGTATTGCAGTCTTGAAGGCACTGAAAATGATTTTGTAGCTCAAACTGAAAGTTTTCGGTGCCTTGGATTAGAGCACGAAGGGGCGGAGCGTTAATTTCATTAGACGTCTCCAACTTAACGTTTAGGTTCAGTGTGCCCCTAACCATTCGGTGATCGCTGCCAATTTTCACCCTGCTAATCATTGAGACATCACTGAAAAGTTGCCGTCTAATCGTAATAAGTTTTAGGTATGCTTGTATTATACCTAAAACTTATTTCAGACCGAATAACCGGCATACAAGTGGATCATCAGTTGTCAACTCTGAGGACGATGGAGGAATTCCTCGCATCCGTCGGGGCTGCTATTGCCATGTTCCCAATTTTATTATAGAAAAGCTGAGAGATATATCAATTTATATCAATTAAAGATTACAATTATTAACTTACCCAACGTAATTTCAATTAGTCACTAATAAAAATGCAAAATTTTAGTTCATTTCAGCGTATGAAATGGCAGCCCCCACGGATTTACTGGGGTTTTTACTATATTTATTATATTACGTGACGAAGAACAACATTTATACATATAGGTATATCACTTTATAACTAGTAGCCTTACAGATAACTTATCGAAACGGGAGGATGTCGTGTCGTGGTCCCAGTTGAAAGATTTGTTAACACGACATTTCAGAGACCCGCGTAGAGAAGACTGTATTAGTATTGATTTAGAATATTTATAGATTTAACCTGGTGTAAACTTTCTAAATTCTTGTAACCGCATTCAAAGTATTCGATCATTATTAATTTCAAAAGTAAACATATCGATGATAGTAATTTTAAAAGCGCTAAATTGGCAATTTAGAACAAGACAACTCTAAACGTATTCCTATACAATCTTCCCGACAAAATTGTTTGGATAGTCAGGTTAGAGAAGCTAGCGACTTCAGAATACGCGCTGAGCATTGTACTAGAGGGAGTTAACTTCCACGATCAATACAATAAGAAATCGTATCCACGGTACCTAGTACTTAGTTAATGAGTCCAGTGTATGCACACGAACGGACTCTGAATATCATTCATTAGTAAATCCACCTCCAAATCGGTGAGACATAGTAATCTAATTGTATTTTAGTTTTTAAAAACTCCTTTCAACGTTCCTGAAACTTGACTGGCACAGCCGGTAGGATTTGTTCGTGAAGGCTGTACCGTCTCTCAAAATATTCAGGTGTCCGAATTCGCCTGAATTCGTGATAGCGGTGCGAATAGCTGTTGGGCAAATCTAAGAACCATATAAATTTGTCATCAAGGGAAGCGGAGGGCATGGGAATAGCGGCTGGTTGGTAAGTAAAACTTTTCGCCATACTTGATACCATTCATTTTTATTTAAATTTGTTATTATTGAGATCTGACTACTCTCATTATAAAGTATCTGGTTTTTCAATTAAATCTATTTAGTAACAGACACTCTACTACTGTAGGTGTATCATAACGCTAATAAGAATTAAAGACAAGGACTGCCTTTTCGCACAGAGATTAAACGTTTGAAAATAATTTTTTTTATAAAAATAATTAATTAAATCTAATTAAAATTTTACTTAATAATTAATGAATATATGTTTTATTAATGCTAGAGATATAATACAATTTTATTTCATTTATTACTACATTACACATTACACTACTACGTTACTACATTTATTACTACACGGGGAATGATGATGATGATGATGATGATGATGATGGTGATGATGATGAATTAATTAAATCTAATTAAAATTTTATTTAATAATTAATTTATATATGTTTTATTAATGCTAGATATATAATACAGTTATATTTCATTTATTTTCATTTTTCATTACATTTACATCTTTTACGAATTTTATACTTTAAATAAACTTTTATTTTATAAATTATATTTTATATGCTTTAGTGTGTTCTACTTCGTATTTTGTGTTATTTCATAAAATAGCGCACTATATTAACTTACTCACTACTCGTACATTAGTCTATTATTTAGACTAAAAATTTATAGTATTATTTAGACTTAACAAAAAACTAATGCATCAGCATTACTATTGTTCCCGGTACTTAGTTGATGAGTCCAATATCTGCGCACGGACGGACTATTTGAAATCATTCATTATTAAAGCCATCTCCAAATCGGAGAGACTTAGTAATCGAATTGTATTTTAGTTTTTAAAAACTCTTTATAATCTTACTAGCTGTTACCCGCGGCTTCGCCCGCATGGTCACTGGGAAATGAACTATCCATTGCTTTTTGAATTGAAAGAAAACTGAGTTTTATAGATTTGTCAGAGATGCAGCCATTAAAAGGAAACTGAGCAAAATTGATTCGTCAGCCTACTTAAATCTTTTGAAACGCACGCTGCGTTTCGAAAGATTTATAGGAAAGCATGAAAATAGCCTGTTTATTCCAAATGGAAATGGGATATTTTTTTAATTAAAGGAAACTGAGCATAGTTATCCGTCAGGGATGCAGACTTTTGAAAAGAAACTAAGCTAAATTGATTCGTCAGAGATGCAGTTTTCTGAATTGAAAGAAAACTGAGCCAAATAAAAGATCCGTCAGAGATGCAGCCTTTTGAGTTGAAAGGAAACTGAGCTTAATAGGTCCGTCAGAGGTGCAGCATTTGGAATTGAAAAGAAACTGAGCTAAATAGGAAATTTTGAATTGAAAGTGAAGATCTGTGGGAATTCTGATTAATTGATTGTGGGAATTTTGGAAAAAAACTAATTGAACACTATTTTAAGACGCTATTGTACACAATGTTATATGTTTTTCCATTTGGGGAAAGAATGTGGAGATTCTGGGCATTTGATACACGCGAATACGCTACATACAGCTGACCATGAGAGAAGCACGGTTTTTCTAAATTAACCCCCGCTACCTGTAGCGTTTGCCCTTGCGCTTTATTAATTGTCATTGCAAAACTGAGCTTAATAGGGAACTGCAACCTTTTGAATTGAAAAGGAAGATCTGTGGGAATTATAGGGATCCGTGGTATAATAACATTTTCACCTTTTCCTACGCCTGTCAAAATTGTAGCACCGATTATGTTCCGTCCAAGATGTGTCACACGCAGCCTTGTCCCGTTACATAACCGAGGAGCATCTAAATTTCGCATTAGCATGACTGGGACGCCTAATTTTAATTGAAACTTATGTGAGGGCACACCTGACAACTCTAGAGAAGTTAGAAACTCTACGGGATATGAAGTGCTCTGTTCTGTGTCCATAACTGTGTCTACTGACAAATACTCTGTTATTTCTCCTGATACTTCGCTTAATATATCTGAATTTATTTTGTTAACGCTCTCATTTTTTGGTGCAAGAATCGCCCTTTCACATAACCATTTGTCTTCATGCATGTTGTTCGTTAAATCTGAATAAACGCTCGCAATTAATTCGGAATGACTCTGTACTAAATTACAAAAATCTCTCGTCAATTTAACGCAACCCTCAGCATCCGTTTCCAACCACCCATCGACAATTTTTAATAGTGTGTCAGCATAGTTTCCAGCATTGATATCATTATACAAATGCACTTTCATATTCGTAGTTAAACTTAATTTTGTCACCTTGTTCCATAAAATAGACGACTTGAGGCATGCTTTAATTTTATCTGCAGGTATGCCCTTTTGAATGACAGGTAAAGTTTGACGAAAGTCACCAGCCAGTAAAACCACCATTCCTCCCATTACATCGGTATTGCTGCGCAAATCCTGGAGCGTTCGATTTAGTGTTTCTACAGCTTTTTTATGCGACATTGTACTTTCGTCCCACACTAAAAGTTTGCATTGTCGTAGAATTATACCTCGTGCACTATTTTTGCTAAAGTTGCAGATCGGCGATTCTTCCTGGGCTAAATTTAGAGGGAATTTTAAAACAGAATGTGCAGTGCGGCCCCCACTTAGCAGCGTGGCGGCTATACCGGAGGAAGCTGCAGCCACAGCGATGTTTTTATCTTTCCGTACTTGAGCTAGTAATAAATTTAACAAAAATGTCTTCCCAGTTCCTCCAGGGGTATCTAAAAAGAAAAGTGCACCATTTCCAGATTCAATTTGTCCTAATACTTTGTCAAAAACTCGTTTTTGTTCGGGAAGGAAGCGGGGTACAAATTCGGCTACTTTCTGCTGCAAAGCTGGTATATCGTAGTTTGTTTCACATATAATTTCATCACTTAGTTCATTTTCGGTTGTTCGCTGAGGGCTTATCATTCCAAAGTCGCTTAATTTTTTGCCTACCATTGCCATTACTTTATCTTCAATTTTTCCAAGTGCTTCATTATAAATGTGTTCATTGTATGTCATGTTCGCGTGTGTTTTGCGAAGGTTACAGCAGTAACCTTCGCAAAATATCTTCCGCCATGTACTTTTTATATTTGTCCCACAATTCATGTGCATTAGATAGCCCGCAAGATGATATAAGAGTTGCATAAAGATCCCTAATTTTGGCTGGTGACTGGCACTGCACAGCTTCCTCCATGGTTTCATCCCAGTGATTATCGTTTTCTAAAAGATGCAGAGCTTCACATGCTTCTCTATAAGTTGCGCATTCCTGACCGTTGATAGTTTTAAGGTCTTTATATCCTGTAGGACCCCGAACATGGTGCAGCAGCAAACAGAAACATTCAAAATTAGTTACATGGACGGTATACACACGACCAAGGGCATCTGATGACTTTACACCCGGCCAATTTGCAACAGGCGCGCCTTGAATACGGCGTTTCCACTCCTTCCTAGATGTGTTCCAAGTATAATAGCGGGGGACTTCAGAATATAACAACGTTTTTGCAAAAGGGTTGGTTTGACAAAGTTGAAAGAAGGCTGTTAGTGTAGTTTTTGGCGGTGATGCAATTCTTTCTTGGAAATTACTTTCGATGAAATATACACGCTCCCCATTTTCTAAGTGCACAGCAAGGTGAGTAACTGTTGGGTGCTTTTCGTGTAATGGGAAGCCAAGGAGACGCCACGCTGCCTCGTTACTGCTGACATAACGCCCTGCTTGAAAGGTCTGTACTTCATTAACGGGATTTGTCTCACCTTCACTCCTGAGATTAAATATTGCTTGGTCGCTTCCTTTATTTATGTACTTACAGATATACTTGATTGCGCGGACAGAACTACATGCTTCTACATTAATGTGGGCATTAAACATTTTACATAGAATGGGCGAATACGGGGCAATCCAGCTGTTATCTAAGGTATCGAACGCTCCAGAGCGAGATTTGATTGTAATTTCCTACCACCATCTTCGGGAGCTCTGCGTCTGTATAAAGGGTAGCCATTGTCATTGTGCACTGTTTCTTTTAATAGCTGTTTAGGGAATTTCTTTGTACATTTTCCTTCTTTCATACATGGCGATATTGAATTTCGTGCTCTACATGGACCGTGAATCATATTTCGGATGATGGTTTCATACAATTCTTTATCTTGCTCAAGATCCGGAATCTCGGCGCTTATTATGTCGTCTATTTGGTTAGGCCGCAACTTCTCTTTAAGCCATATTAGAATGTGGGCATGCGGTAATCCTCTTTTTTGCTATTCAATTGAATACATGAAGCACTGCACCTCTCCGAAAATTTTCCATTTGTTAATTACATACATTAATTTTTGTAATTTTAATCTAAATACTCTGGCAACTAAATTATGTCTGTTAGTACTTTTTTAGCCCGGCATTAGCTCCTCGGTTATTTCTTTCCATGTGGCATTGCAAGTAAAAGTAACAAAAAGATCAGGTCTTCCGTAAGTTCGTACATAGGCGAATGCGTCTTGTGTGTACTCATGTAAGTAGCGGGGACTGTTAACGAATGATGAGGGCAGAATTACCATTTTACCTTAATCTCTGGGGTTTACATTGGCGTCGCTAGAAACTGCATCTTGTAAATGTATATAATTCTCAACACGCAGCTTTTTTGATTTAAAGATATATAACGGAGACGTTCACTTTCTACCTTTACATACATGTCTACCAAAAATTGATGAAATAATTGTCTACACCGGGCTAAGTGGTTAAAATCATTTTCTCGCAACATCATATGATACGCAAAAAAATCCATACATGATACTTTTTTGTTCGGAATAGGCTCCGTTGTGACCGGGTTAATGTGTGGAATTTGAAAATGATAACCCTCTTATCCTTTGCAATAAATCAATGGGTATTGCAGAGCGTCATAAAACTTGTGTGTATCGGCTACCCGTTGCAACGTATCATCACGTGCTCGCAAGACAATGTCTCGTGAAGAAAATTGATCACCACTAATTACGGCTGCTATTTCGTTCATCAAAGGTGCATTGTAGCGCCTTTAATGCTCTCCTCGAGGGGTCCGATCTGCGTGAATGACGACTTTATAATCCTCTTCAGGTTGGTTTTCTAAAACAGTTTTAAGTGTTTTGACTAAAATGTTACGTTCATGCAGGAATCTTTGAATTTTGAACACTGTGTCTCGCTCAACTCCCTGGATAAATTAGCAGCGACGGTCTACCTCTGTTCGTTTACAGCTGGACAAAGTGAACCTATTCTATGATAAATTTGCCCTTGAACCGTAAATGTAGGCGAAAATCCCGGCATTATTATTTCCCGGTCAACTCCGAAGGATGTCATTTGAAAGCATGAGTTATATATTTCCGGATTCTGTTTATAAAGCGCCGTGACTCATTAGCATCATATAAAAAGAGAGTTTTTAAAGTTTCTTCTAGACGGAAGAGACACTTTGTCATTGGAACAGCACATGCCTGCGGTCTCATCTTTCCATTTCAAAGCGCTGCAAAATCGACACGCCTTGTCTATCAGTCCGATAACAACTAACCTGTGATTTTTATAATCAATCAACGGATTAAAAACCGACCAATTGTTTCTTTGAAAATTTTGTCGACGTTCAGCTTGGAGCTGTGCATTTGCATCTCTTCGCGCCTGTATCAGTTCTGGTGTTTCAGTTCTGCCTGTATAGTAGGTTGACGTTCAGCTTGCTCAATAAGTGTGTGTTGAGTTTCATCAGGTGTTTCCGCGGCTCTTAAGGCGGCCTGACATTCCGCTTGTTCGAATAGGCTTTGCTGACTTTGAGCAGGTGTTTCAGTAGCTCTTAAAGTAGATTGACGCTCTGCCTGTTCAAGACGTCTTTCTGACTTTGATCAGGTGTTTCAGTAGCTCTTAAAGTAGCTTGACGCTTTGCCTGTTCAAAACGCCTTCGCTGACTTTGAGAAGGTGTTTCAGAAGCTCTTAAAGCAGCTTGACGCTCTGCCTGTTTAAGACGCCTTTCCTGACTTTGAGAAGGTGTTTCGGAAGCTCTTAAAGCAGCCTGACGCTCTGTCTGTTCAAGACGCCTTTGCTGACGTTGAGAAGGTGTCTCAGATGCTCTAAAAGCAGCCTGACGCTCTGCTTGTTCTTGCCTTCTCAGTTCAGCATCTTCTAAAGATTCTAGCGATCGAGCTAATCTTTTCGCTTATCTTTGAGAAGATACTCTTGAAAGACTGGACTTACGTTTGCGAGGCATTATGAAGTAAAAAAAAACTTATTTATAAAAAAACTTAAAAATACCTAAAAGGAATTAAATTTCCTTTTAAATATTTCTTTAAAAGCAAATCCAAAATATCTAAAAGGAATAAATATTCCTTTTAAATATTTTTTAAAGTCAAAACAACAAAACCAATTCAAGACACAACACGAATCCGAAAACGATAGCCAAAAAAAATCGAATCAACTTAAACCAAATCACAAAACAAATCGCAGAAAACCGAAATCAAAAGCAGTAGTCAATATAAATATAACCAACGAAAAAAGAAGTAAGTGTATAGGTACCGTATACACTATCTATACTATTAATATTCCTTTGAAATATTGTTAAACAACCTAAAACAACGAAAACCAATTCACGATTCTAAATAAACAAAATCCAAAATCAAAGCCAGAGTCTAAATATGTATAAAGGAAAGGAATACCAACCAAATCAACAAAACCGATCCAAGAAAATACACAAATCCGAAAATGAAAGCCAATATAAATCCATTCAACCTTAACCAAATCACAAAGCAAATAACAAACAACCAAAATCGAAAGCAGGTAGTCGAATAAGCTACGAAATAGAAACAATTTAAGCGTTTAGGTGCCGTATGCACTATAAGTTGACGCGCGCCTCAACGGCGGGAGTTAAGTACATGTCAGGAAACATTTCGTTACCGCGTTTTAAAAACCTAGTAACGACATCTAGTGGAATCAAATTAAACTATGTATACTATAGTTAATAAGAACTCTCAAAAATTATTATTCTTATAATTTTGCACAATTTTTCTTATTGTAATACCGATTCATTCATAACCACATATAAGAACTGTATTCATTTCCGTTCAATAAATATTACTAAGGCTTATTAATAAGGCTTACTAAGAACTGTTTCTAACACAGTTAAGTAATAGTTAAGGGTAAAAGCGTGACAGGTGTTGATAGTATTTCTGATCCATACTTATAATCATGCCTGTAACCCTTGCGGGGTAGGCAGAGCATCAACGGATTACTTAATATCGTCTGCGAGGTTATCGCCTATTCTGTGAATTACAATGCACCAAAACGTTTGAAGAAAATCAGTTGGTGAATTTTATGTTTTTTATCGCTCTCTTCCCGGTTCTGCGTGGAAAAATACAGATCCATACATTTTTTATCTTAATTTTGGTAAAAAGACATAATAATCCAGATATTCTGACCTTCTGTGTTCGTCCATCGTACCGTCGTCCGTCTTGTAGAATCACGGTAGCGCCACTAGCTGAATTTAATT